GGACCAGAGCTGGTCCTTCAGTCACTCGTGACAAAGGTAGATGCACCGAAATTCCGCCTTTACAGTGTATTTCAATATCATCTGAGAGCAAAAAGTTCGCATTTCATCTCTGATCTTGTGCCGTAACTACCATTGATTGAACAATGCATTACCTAAATATAACACTAGCATTTTCTCTGCAATATAATAAAACTAACCTAAATATATAAGAAGCGATAAACATGTTTAAATACAAAATTGCAGCTACTGCTAGATGAATCATCGTCGCCCTTTGGTCGAAAGTCTTGTTTGCTAAAAAGCAGCCGATGGTCAAGTTTTTGGTCTCCCCCACACTCTAAGCGGCACAATGTAGGAAACTAAGACGTGTTCAACTTTCTTTTCTTTTCTTTTCTAATACCCTAAGAACCCTAAGATCAAAATTTGAATTCTCATTTGTTGCCCCTATTAATTTCCGACAGAAAAAGTTGGGAGAAGTTGATAAAATGACAAGCAAAATCATATTGTGTGATCATGTCCGCAATTCTCATGACCACTCTGTTTTACAATTCACTGATATTACGAGGAGAAATTTGATGCTGATCACTCTTAAGGCTCAAAGGGTTAATGTAGTGATATTTACCCTTATAATGGAACTCAGAAAAAAAATAAATGAGATGCAGTGAAATGAAAACTGTTTTGTTTGCTGACTTGATATGCCTCCAATTTAATTCAGCTCACTTTATTTTCCTGCGATATGTTTTAACGAACTGAGAAATTAGAGTTTCAGGAGTCTCCATATATATATCATATTATAATTACGAGTAGTTTTATAGACTAATAGAACTGGATTAAATTTTCAACAGTTATTGCTACTCAGAGTTTCATGCTTCTTGGGAAGATTTAATCCAGTTCCATCAGTCTACTTGTATTCTGTTCTAGTTCAACTATTGGGCAGTCTGATCTTATAGTATATTACACGGGGGTTGTTGATGCATCATAAATCGAATGAGTGAGCGCAGCGAACGAGTGAGATATCTGATACATAATCGACGGCTGCCTTAATACCGTACAAAGCACTTTCCATGTGGTACTGTGTTTATTATATACACATACTGCAGACGCGGATCCACACCTTTTTCCAAGTACCGTTTTACAGAAATCGGTCACATTTTTCATATAAAAAAATATATTTTTAAAAGTAGGTTGACTTTAATCGTCCGGGTGTTTTTTAATTGTAAAAAAAAACTTCCCAAGTTGATGTCTTGCTCCATTTTCAACAAACAAAATGGAAATTAACCTTAATGAAATAATTCGCCTATTTGCAAGGCTTAGTTAGTAACTAAGTAAGTAAGAGACTTTATTTTATGAGGGTGACACGTAACAGTAACTGAACATTACTGATCAACTTGTGGCCCTCTAAAAATACATCAGCAATAAATTATCATTTACGATAAAATAATTTGTAGAATTCGATAAAAATAAAAATCAAAAACTGTTAAAAACGAAGAGCATCCAATATCTATCTATTGTCATTAATTTAGGTCAAACGATCCCTTCGACTTCTGAGAATTTAAAACTATTTTCCATTATTCAGCCTTAAAGGATTTCAGACTTCTTTGTTTTTAGTGATTGGGGTAGATTGTTCCAGTCCTTTACAGTTCTTACAGCAAAAGTGCGTCCTCCCTCCGAGATGTTCCTGTGATGAGGGCAAAATAAGTCTGCATTACAATTTCTCGTGTTTCTTGAGTGAACATCGGAGTTTTTTCTTAGAGATACACTTAAACAGTCGGGTAACTGACTACCATTTATCCTTTTAAAGGCCAGTTCACAACGTTTAATGTGCGCTTCATTATAAAAGGGGATGCAGCTTAGGTTGTTAAATAATGTTACTGTTCGACTTGTGCGCTGTGTTTCAAGAATAATACGTGCGGCCCGTTTCTGCATACGGAGAATTCTCTCAAGTACCTCTTTGTTGTACGAAGTCCATACTGTGCTTGCATACATCATAAGAGGTTTAATTACTGCGTTAAAATAGATTATCCTCTGGTTTTTCTTTAAGTAGGGGCTAATACGGCGTAAAAGGCCGAGTCGCTTCGAACATTTGTTGCAGAGTTTATCGACATGCACTTCGTAAGTTAGATCTTCATCAATGATCATACCAAGAAGTTTATGGTTTGCGACTTGATCAATTTCTGCGTTATCCGTTTTTACTCCCAGTTTTCCTGTATCTTAGACCATGCGCTTTCGTAGGCGCTTCCCCGTTACCAACAAAGCTTTAGTTTTTTGCTTATTCATATACATTTTGTTCTCTCTATCCCATCTCTCTACTTCACTCAAGTCCTGTGGCAAAGATTGATTTAGTAATGGCAGGGTTTTCCAGTTTGAACTCAACGATAAGGTGGTGTCATCTGCATAAATGTCCGTAGTTGACTTTTGGACGTGGAGGGGCATATCGTTGACGAACAAAAGGAAGAGCACCGGACTTAGTACTGCTTCCTCTCAAACAAGTAGGATTTGAACCAGGCAACAGAAGAAGGGGTAGCACCGTAGATAGACAACTGTTTTAGAAGAGGTTCATGATCAATCACATCAAAAGCTTTTCGGAAATCTATAAAAAACAGATCGGTCACTTCGTCATTGTCCATGTTTCTAAGAATCTGATCCGTGAGTCTGATTAAGGCTGTTTCAGTTGAGTGTCCTGACCTAAAGGCTGATTGCAGCTCGTATAATAAGTTATTTTTACTTAAGAAAACAGGTAGAGAGCTGGCCACATGCTTTTCGAGAATTTTCGAAAGGATAGGTAAAAGCGATATGGGGCGAAAATTGTTGATATTATTTCGTGCTTCACATTTGTGCAGTGGTGTGACTTTAGCTAATTTCAGTGGTTAGGAAAACTGTTTGTCGGTATTGAAAGATTAAGTAATTTGCATAAGAGATTTGCAAACACCGGTGCAATTTTCTTGAGTACAAGTACGCTTAGGCTATCGTAACCAGAGGCCTTGTTAGTTGAGATTTTATCTATAAGGGCAAAGGTTTGCTTAATCGTTAATAGAGGAATGTTGTAAACCGCATCTACGTTTAATCTTCAGTGAACAAAGTTTTTCAGCTTTGTGTTTTCAAAATCTACGCCAGCATCGTTGTTGTCACCAATTTGTTCTAGGATGTTAACAAAGTACTCGTTTAGCTCGTTTGCTATGACGGCTTCGTCGAGACCAATTCATTTTCTGTAGTTATTTCGTTGATACGAACTCGAGGTTTACTTGTCCAGCTTAACGATTTCAGAGCTTTCCAGAAACCTTTCGGGTTTCCTTTGTTCTCGTCGATTTTTTCACGAAAAAAACTTCTCTTTGCTTTTCTAAGAAGATTTGTGGTTTGACCTTCGCATGCGTGAATCGTGAACAATCCTTAGGCAAATTCGAATTCCGCGCCTTTTTAACAATTTGTCCCTTGTTTTCATAGAATGAAGAATCTCCTTTGTCCCAGGTTGGTTGGGTCTCTTGACACGTTTGGATTTAAGTGGAATGTGTCGATATAGAACATCATTAAGCATTGTTTCTATTGAACTCAAAATATCATTATATCATCGAAAACAAAGGCAGCATCCCATGGGGTACATTGCAGATCTTGTAGTAATTCATCAGTATTCAAGTTCTTTAAGTCACGACATTCAATGGTACTGTGAATTTCATTTTTCTGCTTTCTAGAATATTTTTGTCTAATAAATACCAATAGATGGTCCGAAAGACCGATGTTTGGTACAGAAATATCAGCAATGAAACCCGGGTGTGTTGTATAGCTGTTGTCGAGACATGTAGAGCTCACAGGACGTGTAACTTCATTTACGAGTTGACTCAAATTTAAGCTTTTCAGGGCTTTCGCTAATCGATGTTTTTAATATGCAGGGTCGAAGATGTTCATGTTTAAGTGTTCAAAAACATGTAATTCTTGGTTCCTTAAATACGCCGCTTCGATGTTAAGGTCTAACCTGGCATCCGTGTCCGCAGTTTATGAAGGCGAACGGTCGATTTGACTTGTACGGATGGATTTGTAACCAAACGGTTTCAAGTACGTTTTCTTCCAGGCTTGAGATTCTTTCGACCTTAAGTCTGTCAGCGACATAAAGCAAGAACTCCACCGCCTTTCTTCGATCCTTGTGGGTCTTTTCTGAAAAACGTGTAGCCAGGTATTTGTAGAACCCAGTCAAGCTTGTTTGGCTTGAGAAAGGTTTCGATTAGAAAAAGCACATCAATTTCATGTTGATTCGCAGTTAGTAGTAACCTTATTTGCTCCAGCTTAGAGTCCGTTAAATTATTTACGTTCCACTGGCCTAGTTTAAGACCATTTCCTGGTAAAGATATCCGAGGGCACAGTTAGTTCATCTTGTACTTCGTGTTGCCCCTTGGACCGGGATTTGGGTTAACATCCCAAGCCTTAAAAATTTCAAGCTCCAAAATAAGAGGAGTGAAAGTTGACACACCATTTGTGGTGTATTTCATCACTGATTGAAGAAATTTACTTTTGAAATTCTTCGGTGGAAGTACTGGGATTGACTTCAGTCCTAAAATGGCGGCGTTCATTTGGCATTGCCGCTGATATTTTGCTAAAATGTAAGTGTGGCTGCTTTCAAAGGAACTGTGGTCATCGTCGTAATGGCTACTTGTTATCAGTAACACTAGGACTTCAAATATGAGTAGTATTACGCAATGATTGAGCCCTGTTCCAGGCGTTCAGAACCCGAGGAGAATGGAACTGACCGATATCTTGTCTGAATGACTCAGAAACCCAGGAAAGGGGACTTTAGGGAGCTCAAATCCAAAATATTTCCTGGTGGCGCATACCCCGGACCGTCCCCCTTTCCCCAGGAAGCTTGCACCTTCGGCTCTCACTTAGAAAATCGGTCAGTACTTATCCCAGATCCGCGCCTGTACTAAGACCTTCATCACTTTGCCAGCCTTTTGTTTCAAACCCTTTCAAAATGCTAACATTTGCCGCTACACCTTAATACCGAGAAATGACGAGTAATGGAAACTTTTGGTAAAAATTATAATGCTGGAAAGGATCACGCCAGGGATGGTAATTCATATTAACTGTTTGCTCTGAATGTACAATTAAAGATGAATGAATCTGAATAAAATGACCGGTTCGTGTATAAACAGAAGACAAAAAGAAATAGGTCCTATTACAAGTGCAACTTAAGTTTTTTTTAGTCTCGTTCTGTTTTTCCCACTTCTGCTGTTGTTTTGATTTGCCGGCTCTTGAAAATTTTCTTCACTAACCGTGAAATATATTACGAAACTATTCCACTCCAATTTCCGTGAAATTTTGGAACTTTTCAGTGAGAATAACTTCGAGAAAAACCCTTCTTCATAGTTGAATGTCTACGAAGCAACTAGCAAAACCGATGGCACTGCAAGCTACAAGCGCCTAAGAAGGCGGGAAATTTGGCGCGAAACTCACACTCCTCTGTGGCTTTTGATTGGACGTATAATTTTTCTCACACGTGAAAAAATATATATACAATTAAAAATAAACTTCTTTCCCGATTACTTATGGAACCCGGAATCCTGAGCTTGGGAATCCGGAATTCAGCTCAAGGAATCTGGAATCCCCCAAGCAATTGGGATTCGGAATAAAGGAATCGGGAATCAAGTACCCGTAATTCGGAATCCCAACATGGAATCCACGATCTAAGACTGTCTTGGATTACCTGTATGCATAGGGGCGAGTTCATTATATTTAGGCTGTTTGTTTACTTATTGTAGAGAGAGATGCGTCAGATTACGCAGATGAGGTACGACATTGGCTAGACTTGATGAGAAGAGCAGGTATGAATGAAAAATAATGTACACATGCCATGTATTCCCTACACATATTTTCCAGACATAGGATGAATAATTGAAATGATGTGCTAAAATTTAGGGATGCTCTTTTTCTGCTGTGTTCACGTTTTTTTCTTTCAATTCCTTTCCCATTGGTCTTTCTGTTACTCTGGATAATAGCGAAGACATAAAATGTGTATCAAAAGTTTGTTAGAGACGTGTTAAATGGTGCTGATGACACAGTGAAATGAGACATTAAGAAAGAAGTCAATAGCATAATTTTGTTTCATATGTGTTCCAGAAGACTACAGAACCGCAGGGACAGATGACAGCTCAAACGATGACCAAGATTACTTAACTAGTAAATATATCCAAGATTCAGGGTCTGATGAAGCGGAAAGTGATGAGGATGTTGATGAAGAGGAGAGCGGCGAAGGTGGTGATGATGGAGAAAGTGGTGACGATGGTGAGGAGGAAAGTGGCGATGAAGGCGAAGAAGGTGATGATGGTGAAGAGGAAAGTGGTGACGACGGTGATGATGGAGAAAGTGGTGAAGATGATGAGGAAGAAAGTGGCGACGATGGCGAAGAAGAAGGTGGTGACGATGGCGATGATGACGAAAATGATGATGACAGTGAAGAGGAAAGTGGTGACGACGGTGATGATGGAGAAAGTGGCGAAGATGGTGAGGAGGAAAGTGGCGATGATGGCGAAGAAGGTGATGATGGTGAAGAGGAAAGTGGTGACGACGGTGATGACGGAGAAAGTGGTGAAGATGATGAGGAGGAAAGTGGTGATGATGGCGAAGAAGAAGGTGGTGACGATGGCGATGATGACGAAAATGATGATGATAGTGAAGAGGAAAGCGGTGACGACGGTGATGATGGAGAAAGTGGCGACGATGGTGAGGAGGAAAGTGGCGATGATGGTGAAGAAGAAGGTGTCGACGATGACTCACAACGACTAGCGTCTCACTTTTCACGCCTGTCAGATATTACTCGGAAGGGGAAGTTGTCTCTGAACATCGAGAAGACCTTGGAAGATGATATGATTGAAGCACTCCTGAAGGGATACGAGTGAGGTCTACAAACAGAGATATAGTATAATCTACTATTTTATAGGGATTATGCTTTCATAAGTAGGACCTCAAATTTAAAAGTACTAGTTGATGGTCGAATAGAAGAGCACTTTGACCATTATCTTACAACGAACCTTAGAGCCCCGACGTTTCTATTCGTGTTTCATTTTGACTGTTTGTTTCGCTTCTTTCTATTTTGGCGTTTGTTTGTTTTCTCTCAAGTGTGCTGCGAGTACAGGCTTCGATAGCACATGTGCGATAACCTAATAAAACATATTTTTAAAAGTCTTTTAAATTGTCAATTCCATTATCTTATGTGTGAAATTTAGTTAGAAACATTGTTTTCTTTCATTTTTCTTTGTGTCTCTAAAAGTTCGGGTAACCATGTGGTTTACCGCCATAACGCCGGGTTTCTAAAGCGACACTGATAAGGATAAGGATAACAATAATTATAAGAGTCGAGTCCGGTTACCTTTCTGGTAAGCAATTCAGTTATACATTTATTTGTTACAATTCAATGGCTCAAATTACAAATAATACAAAATAATCAAATGAATAATTAAACAAATAACAAGAGAAAAAGCCATAGGGATAACCTTAAAAAAAGTAGACACCCCATACAATATATATCACCATTAATTAATTTGATCAAAATATGTGATATAAAAATTGATATCTAAATACCACGATAATATCAGCGAGAGAAAAGAGACGACATTTTGCGACGTCCCCACTGGTTTCTTTGCAGTCTGAGAAACGAGAGCAAAACTTCCATACTGATGACGCGACACCATGACCCATAGACTGGAAACACCTTTCATAATGAATGGCTGCTTTTAAAGCTTCTTTGGCAAACTAGAGGAAAGGTTGGTAAATACACTGTTTAATATGAAAATCATGCTCTGAACACACACACAAAAATTGTTTACAATGCTTGAGTTTTAGTTTTAAATCATAAAATCTGAACATAAAAATTGACCCTTATGACAAACACAAACACGAGGCTAAACTTTTACCCAATTTTCAAAACCACATTTGATTGGAAATGTTTTCCCAAATTAGCTCACTGTAATTTCCTCATTATAAGAAAAAATAATAAAAGATGGTGCCTGCCTAAATATAACACTTTAACTTAATCAGTTATGGAAACTATTAAGCGGAATGCGTGTGGCGTTCACTAGTGTGTTCTCATAGCAAGCAACAAAAAAATATTAAATGCCTTACGTCCCGGAGTAGGTCAACCGATAAAAATCAGTATCGATTTATCAATCGATAAATCGATAACAATCGGTAAATCTGATTTGATTGATATCGATAGTATCGATCAATCGGCAGAAATCGATGGAACTCACGTTTCATTCATCGATTTATCTCGAGTTTTACCGATTTCATCGATTTGTATCGGAACAGCATGTGTTCATCTGTGCATCAAAAAATGAAAACTCAGTTCATTCAAACAGTGAATTAAATTGACGATTAAGTTGCAATTGAGAGTCGAAGGATCAAACAAATATCACTTTTCAAAAAATCGTTAAAAATCTTCTCTTTTCTTTAAAACCAGGTCCCAGTTGTTCCAATTTTGGATAGCGCTTTCCACTGGATAAATCACTTTCCAGCAGATAACTTTAAGGGAAAATAATTGCTTTATCTGCTGGGTAGATATTTATCCGATGGATAGCGCTATCCAACGTTTGAAAAGCTGGAGCCAGGTTTACAAATTTTCTTCTGATTGCGGATATTGGCCGGGTTCATAAGCGCCCAGGTTTTCACGATTTAGTTCTGCCGCCCTTTCAAAATAACGTTGGTGTAGTTCAAGGTGTAGTTGCATCCCCAAGTAGCCAACAGATAAAAATCGAAATCAATAAAATCGTCAGCAATCTAGTGATTTTTATAGTTTGATAACGAAAAACGGTGAAAATCTTTTTAGGGAAATCTTTTAGCCTAAATCTCAGACATACCATCAAGTCAAAGAGATGTCTGAAATTCAGGCTACGAAACCTTTATCTAAGGTTGTATTTCTCGTGTTACTTGCTTGCGAGAACTGAAAGTAATTAACTGAACCGTTTTTTCTTTGTTATATACAAAATAAAGGATTTTAGAGAGAAAGTTGCCCGTGTAATAAATTCCACATTTCTCAATTTAATGTTTGTTAATCAGTTGTTACTCGTGGATGTGTTTTCTCAGCTGTAATATCTAACTTATGCTAGGAAAATAACAATACTGCACGTCCGTTATAAATCGTGCAAATCATCAAAATGTCCATTTGACACTGCATTTTAGTTTATCGATTTTCACCGATTTCCATTACCAATCGACAAAAATCACTTGATTGCTACCGATTTTTATCGATTGACTACTCCGGGTTTACGATCTAGTAATCAATTAAACAGCAACCTCGTTCCTAGGGTCTTCTCGCTATCTAATATGGCGGCGGCAGGAGAGAAGACGCTGGCACACAGCGAGATAAAACGATCGCTGATTAGTGCATTTCATGGTGCATTTATACATGCGCTCCGATTGGTTTATTACTTCCAAAACAAAGATGGGAGCTCTTTGAGTTCTTCTTGGGAACTGAGAAGAACTTTCTTTTCCCTGCTAGCAGAGGTCTCTCACGACGAGGCAAAAATGAGAGGAAGGAAAAAGAGCAGTCTCTCTCCTTTCTCTCATTTTTGCCTCGTCATGAGAGACCTCTGCTTGCACGGAAAACTTTCTCAGTGTCTGAGACCTAAAAGGTGGACCGAATTCCTGTCTGATCGTTTAGAAAACTGTGATTAGCGTACCGTTAATTAGAAGCAGCAGCAAGGAACAATTGGAAGATAATTTGACGATTATTCACTCTTCAATCGGTGTCTATCTTTCAGTACACGCGAGTTTCAGCCACATAATTGTGTACCATACTGAAATGGTAATCGCTGGGAATATTTTAAGGTATAAATGTATTTCTGTTGCTCATGCTATTTGGTTTGTGTGTTCAAAAATAACCAATGATTTGTTTCTTTCGGGATTTATCATAGGTGAACTTGCAAAGCTTCACGATCAGTTAATCAATTAATTTAGCAGTCCTTTTGCAAAGGTTTGCCAATGCTCCAGAAATGCGAGTGTGCTATACAATTTTTGATTTACCGAATCCTATCCCCACCCTACTTTAATTATATATAACCTGTGCTCTGTCTCTAGCGGAATTTGTTTAGTAAAGCCTTTTTTTTCATTTGATCGTAATATGCATGGCCTAAACTGGCCTTCTCTTAAATCCACTGTCATTTTGTATGGGGGGGGGGGGGTCGAGGAGCTAAACTATTACAGTCAACGTAACTTGGAACAGAGATTTATCCATTGGATAGGACTTTTTAATTTTTGAACAACTGGACCCTGGCATATAGTGAATTTGCACATTGACATGACAAAGTGCAGTCACAACGAATACGTGAAATAAAACCACAGACGGGGATTTAAAACGTTTTTGCTCTAAAAAAATATATATGAAAGTAGAGAATACATTTTCGGGATTGCTATATTGCAAACAATGGTATCAACTACGAAACACTCTTCATGTTTAGCTAGTAACTAAAGCAGGGTGCTTTTTTTTCATTTTTGACAACTGTAAAAAAAAAAAAAACAACAACAACAACAACAACAACAACCGGAGGAAACAAACCGGTAAGATCACGGTTAATTCATGTAACCCCAAAACATTGTGAACAGGGATCGATATTGACAGCAAACTAAAAAGTCTTAAAACTGTGAAGTAGATGAAGATTGACAGTAACGTTACTAGCTTTTATTACCTGTACCGGATCAAGTGGCAAAACAAGGGAATGTTTAATTTCATGTTATTATACAGCCGAAGTTTCTTGAAATTAAAACAAAATAGACAGTGTTTTATGGTTCTTGCTTTCAGGAGAATTAGGGTTTACAGATTTAAGTAAAAATGTATGCAGATAGAAAAACAACTGTCAAAAGCCTCATGAATATCTGTAACAAAACTGACGATAATTCTTAGTGTCTACGAATCAATAAATCCTTGGTTGAATTTCAGAGGGCAGCAGTTTTAAGTGTCATGAAAAAAGATAACCTGGCTCCAGAGGTCCGTTCTCGAAATTCCTAGGATAAAATAAGGAGTCAATAAGCTGAGCTCACGGTTGGAAAAAAGTTCCCGTTTTCGTGAGAGAAGAAAAAACCTCTGGCACCCAGAGAAGGCAAAAAAAGCAGTGAGAAAAGAGCGGTAACTAAAAATCAAGTTAAGTTGTCAAGTGCCGTGCACGTTAAAACTTTCAAATTTCAAAGAAAGAAAGTCATTGAACAGCAAAATAAGATCGCTATATCCAAATATCCTTCTACCGTATTCCTGTGGCTAGCGCTTGTTCGCGTATTCATGGTTATTTTTAGCTTCTTTCCATGTGCACATCGAGTTCGCCTTTGCCGCCATTTTGATTGTTTTCCACCAGTGTCAAGATCTCGTACCCAGATCCTTGCATCCTTGTCTTTGCCCGCCATTTTGAATAAATTTCCGCTCTCCGTGGACAAATCAGTCACGTGATTTCTGCTCTGTGCCAGGGTCTTCTCTCCTGCCGCCGCCATATTGGAAAGCGAGAAGACCCTGGGGACGAGGTTGATGAATCAGTTTTTTCACAAGGATTGTTCTCATTTTACACCCTCTCCCCACCAGTGCTTCCCTTTACCGATATTAGAGAGCTTTAGATTCTGAGACGAGGACCACTACGAGAACGAGATTTTCTCAGTATTAAGTAGTGTACACGCGTAAACCAACGTCATTTTGGCGGGAAATCGTCATTCTACTGCGAGTTTTAGCGAGAATTTTGTAGTGGCGGAAACAACTTATCAAAGTTTTGAAGTTTAATCATTTTTCGACCAAGAAAGCGCTTAAACTTTTCTAACGAAAATAACCGCACTAATTTTTCAGATGATAGTACAATAGTTCAATGTAGCTTTCCTGGTTGAATATTTTTTGAGAATACGAGGAAAAAAACTTTACAAAAAGACCTTAGAATACATAAACCAGGTCTCAGTGGGTTAATAGTCATCTGTAAAACGGCCTAAAATTTAACGTCAGCCGCCAAAAAATGTCATTTTATTTTGTTTTACCGTCAACGGTCAAAACGTAGATTAGTATAAGCTGTAAAAAAGTTTTAAGCTATTTAAAATCTGACTATTTCATCTGATCTCCACGAAATTCTTGCTACTGAGGAATATCTAAACTGGAAAAAAACAGTTCCCATGTTCTGCAAAACAGTTCATTTTAAATTAAAGATCATAACTATAACAAAATTCTCAAATCTGATTGGCTATCAACTGTCTTGATTTTAGCACTGATAGGACAGTGTAACAAGACAGTGGACAGTACGCGCCACCGCGCGCGCACTTAATTGACTTTTTTTCACTGCATGCTAGCAAGAAAGTTCTTTGAATTTCTTTTTTTATTACTATTTTCAAGAGAGCTAAAACATTACCCATTTTGTTATAGTTGTGATTAACTGGTAACAGAGCTTCGTTTAGTCCAATTACGTCTTTAATCATCTTGTTAAGACCGAGTTGGACTCCACTCAGTTCTATTACAATTATATATACCCTTATTGTTATATTCCTAGACTTTCACTCAGCTAAGCAGGGACTGCCATTGGTTGATTCTTGGTCACGTGGCCTTGACTAAAATCAAATGTATTCCGACTGTGATACATTAAGCATGCAATGTGCCCCACTCGGGATACATTACAGCACGTGATCAAAGCATGTTTAAAAGTGGCGTGACAGAAGGCGGGAAAATACTGCCAGTTTTCTTTTTCGTGAATGAAGACAACAACACAAACACGAAAACTCAAGCTAAGAAGCAACGATTTTTAAAGTTATCCCAGAAGAGAAGCAGCAGCTAGTGGAGGAAAAGATGCAGGTAATATTAGGAAAGTACTTTGTGAATCACTCCTTCAGTGGTTTTGAGAATTAAATTTGTGTTGTCTTAAGTATCGAGTCGACTGTTTTGGTTCGCTCCGGTTGTTTTTTGTTGCTGTTGAAGTGCAAATCTAGAAATACAACAAAACACTTAATGTCAGGTCCCTCGGGATACGAGTTAGTTTTGTTTTCCCTCGAGTACTGATGTTTCCCTCGACTTCGTCTCGGGAAACATTAGGACTCTCGGGAAAACAAAACTAACTGTTTCCCTCGGGATCTGACATTAAGTGTATAATATTACTTTAACTCTTGGACTAAACAGTCAAAATTGGAAAAAAATATCAACCATGAACGCTACCACCCCACCCCCATAAACGAAAGGGCCGGGGTCAAGCAAAGTTTCAATGATACCGGCGGATCACCACACTGATGATATATATACTCTTCTTTCTTAGGCGTCAAGAATGTTAAAAGTGTTTCGTGAATTTGGGACCAAATTATTTGAAATTAAAGTCGCGGAAATCAACGCCCCACTAATTAAATGGCGAGGAAATTGACTTTACAAAAATTAACCCGTCTTAAATAAAAGCACTAATTTCCTATAATAAGGTATTAATTGTAACACAGGAATTAAGTTTTCTTTGTAAGGTACGTTTACCGATAAAGCAGTCTAATCTACCAAATTCATTGCAAGTCCAAACATTAAGAACGTTTGTAAACGAGGTTGAAAATGCGGCTCGACGGCTGTGATATAAACCTTCTGAGAAAAGCTCATAACATCAGCTGGAGAGACCATGCCACACGTGACAGGATTTGTATAGGTAATAGCATGATTTGCAGTGATATTTGGCATAAATACCACAAGTGATATTTCGAAATTGTTATACGTAATTTCACGAGCCGTTAGGCGAGTGAAATTTGAGACAATTTTGAAATATCACGAGTGGTATTTATGCCAAATATCACGTACAAATCATGCTATTAGTTGTTTATATTACTGCCCGCAAAAGGTTTGTAATTTTCACATATCTAGGTATTTCAAATTAAGCTGAAATACCACTGCTCTAAGCCAATCAAATTGTAGTAATTTTTCATGTAGTAGTATAAGAGGGCTAACAGATCTCTCTATAAGACTCAAGAAAAATTGTCTTCTGTTTGCTGGTCATTGTTATCGGCCAAATAAAGACTGAAGTAATCTCATCGCTCATTTTCTGGCGCTTATTGGGCAGAGTGCATTTACGTATTAAGTAACACACCCCGAGGTAGAGACTCCGAAGTAATTGTAAGGATTCAGGTCATGATGTGATGGACCTGACTACAGCGATAGCAAATCGTGTCAACCACTCCAGTGGTTGAAGGATGATGATGACCGTCAAATTGGCAAGGAAGAATACGGTTTTGATGGGAGAATATGAATAAGCGAAGATTTTTCAGTTTATGTCATAAAAATTCTAAAATATAAATACGTGTATGGAAGCGGGTTTTTATCTATAACTTTAAATTTAAATGGGGACGTTCACTGGCATCTAAACCAGTTTAAGAATGTTCAGTCACATAAGTGTTCAAATTTTAATAAATAACCAGAAGATCAGTCAGTTTTTGAAAAGAAAAAAAAAAGGTTTTCTTGAATCGATCTAAATGCGTAAATTCAAAATAGAATTCCGAAATCTTTCATCTAGTTATGCAACAACTATTCAAATCAACTTTGATAATATTTATTCCTTAATCGAAAAGTCTCTCATCTCTAAATCACTGAAGCCTATCCACGCGCTCTTTAGTTCTTACCCTGATTCTCTTCTATTTCTATAGAAACAAATGGTGGGATTTTGATGACGAGGTAGTAATTTATTTCGCCCTGTGTTCAGTGTGTATAAATAAACATAAAGATAGTCTAATCCAATAAAAGTTGCTTTAGGTATTTGGGCACATGAAACTCACTGCAATGATTTGCTTGAGTGGCGACCAAACCTAAGCTTCCAATTGCTCATTAACAATGCCCAAATTAACCTTTATTTAATCAGCTTATTATTAGCTTATTTAACACGACAACGTCAGAAGTAGTTGTAAAAAGCAGTCTGAGTTCCGTCCTATTCTTATGAATGGTAACCAACTTGATGTACTTAGAAGCGCAAAGCTCAGGGGCACCCAACGGGAATATAGTTCAAAACCACTTAAACATCGAATTGTTAAACCTATTTTAGTAGTTAACCGGAACATATAGGCATATTTTTATCCCCTATAAATTTTTCATCTGTTTGGATCAAGCTGAAAGTCTGATCCGAAAATTATAGGGATCAAAACTTACCTTTTCGAAAATTTCAGCCAGAAAAAAGGCTCCCGAAAATTCTAGGTGACCTTTTTCGGGTAAAAATCCGTTAAAAATGGGCAATTATACCATTTGTTAGGTGTTCGAAAATCCCAGGAGAGGCAGGCAGACAAGAAATGTTACAACAAATGTTCCGAAAATTCTAGATCTCAAATCTTCTTCCGAACAGATATTTTCCAAAAATTGGCGGCTAAACGTTTGTATTTCCTAGTTCAGCTAAACGGGCAAAGCTTCCATGTAGGGACTTAGTCCTCTTTTATGCCACATGTATAAGATCAATCCTAGTTTATGCAGCGCCTGTTTTTTTTATGCTCTGTCCAAGTAGTTACAGCGTGAGCTTGAGCGGGTTCAAAAAAGGGCATTATCAATCATTTGCCCCAGTCTGTCTTATGACGAGGCACTTAATGAAGCTGGCATGGTATTCCGACCATTATTTCATATTGCGAGGACATATGTGACAAGGTTTTTAACACTGCCCTCGGCAACAAGGATAACAAACTTAACAAGTTATTAACTGAAACCAATAAGGCTCCATATTTACTAAGAAATCACCGACACTTTGCACTTCCAAAGTGGAAGACGGACCGTTTTAAGAACACTTTTATTTTGTCATCGTGCCTAAAGTACAATTAAATGATTCGGTTTGAATGCTTTAATATATTATATGCTTGAATTTTTAATATTTCAATATTAATGTATTGTAAATTATTCTATTTTTAGCTTACTTTTATTTGTAAATACGCAATTCAGCTTCTGGCTGCCCATGTATTTATTTTTAACAAGCTATCTATCTAAGCTATAAAACTATAATTTTTTGACATGCAGCCTGATAAAAAATACACTTAGTACCATCAGCAAATATATTCAATTGATATAAGTATGATAACAATTGTCTATATCGTTGATATGAAGAAGGAAAAATGAAGGACCTTAATTCATTTATCATGTCCACACTTAACCCAACATCCCTTCAAATCGCTTGAAAAGTAATGTATAACTCTTATCACACCCGGTTCTTGTAATGGATGACTAACTAATAGGTGGAATGAATTAAAAAAAAAAAATAAAAGAAAGAAAAATGTTCTTTCTTTTAAATGACATGTAGCAATTTGGCCACAAGTTGCGTCGTATCACAAGCCCTGTCCCTTTAATATATAACACCTTCCGTTTTTTGTTTCCATGGAGAAGCTAAGGCAACTATGGCCTTCACTTTTCCAATATTTTACATGTTTTTCTTATTAATTCTCCCCCTTGGAATTGAATTTCCAGTTAAAAACTATCAAGCAGTTTATTTTAATTACTTACGTTTCCAAGAAAAGAAACAATAATTTCTGTTTGCATTGCACAATAACGGTGCCGAATCCATCGTGACTTTGAGATTCCATGGCTTAAATACTCAAGTGCTTGTTACTGCTAAACAATTTCGTACCTTATCGCTGTATGCTCGTTAAAGATATAAGCCACCATTTGCAACCAATAGATCGATCGATTGGGTTTTCAGTGTCAGCCAGTTTTTAATGCACCATTTACATAGAGAAGAAAAAAAAAAACAGAGAATGATTTATTGTTTTACTGTTAATGATGACTTTCTGCCTCACTGAATGCATAGAAAAGGACAATATCTTCACTTTGCAACAGAATACTCGCAAAACAAACATTAATCTTACTCAAGAAAGTTATGTAATATAATCACTTCCGACACGTGGGAGGGCAAATTTTTCCCTTACCTTTGAACGTGCCATTGAAGATACCATGGATGGTTAGCTTGCTTTGAGCCGTGCTAACTAGTACAAAAATTTATTTAATTCAATAGAAACACAATTATAGAATGGCTGACTATTGCTCTTGCAGAAGATTCTAAAGATACTTTGGATAAACCAGCAAGTATTTGACTCCGACCTCACCGGTGTACGAGTGTTTCTATATTCAAGCAGATAACTCTTTTTTGCAGATCAAATCGACTCCTTCGATATGGTCATAAACGGATATTGGTACTTACTAACCATATCACAGGAAGGGAAAAAATATCTTGAGGTTTTTTTCTTCTAGATCATTTCATTTCTCTTCAGCGTTACATAGCGGTTGTTGTTGTTAGTAAAGTGACATTGAATAGGAGGTCTACAAGCCAAAGGGATGTCTTCCAAAATTTTCATCCTTATTTGCTTGGTTACACTCTTGAATCCAGTCTTGGGTAAACCCTTACCTCAGAAAGATGGTAGGCTGATTTTATTAGTGATTTTAGCATATGTTCTTGCAATTTGAACTTATATAAAACCACTCGACAACACCCCTGGATGCTGGAGAAACTTATCCCTTTTAAAGTAATAAGCTTTTCAATTTCTTTTTTTTTTTTTGGAAAAATGAAGTTTTAAATGAAGGGAAGAACTACACAACATTATATGCTTTGATTCATCTTGGTTGGTTGGTTTTTAGTCCATTTGCCTCGTTTTTCCTGTACCTCATGTCTCATTTTCGTATTAATAAAGAACAACCGGGTTTGCTCTGGAGTTCCCTTGACTTACGCAAAGCGTAAGCTAAAACTATGACAATTTATTTTACAATATAAAGAAAATTAAGGTATCAAACATAGTTCTACAATTTATGTTTATATGAAAAGTGAGTACGAATAAGCGTCTTGTTAAAGGTGGTGAGAAATCAATATATTGCGTCATCAAATCGATCTGCCCCATGGTAGACGAATCTGTCATGCTTTTGAGATATATGGGTAAATACACTGTACTCATCCTTTTTATATAAAATACTAAGGCCATTTGCTTTTAATGTGTCGAACGTGGATAAAAGACTGAAAAGCTACAGAAAAAAAATATCCCAGTCAAGATTTTCGACAACAATGGTAAATTCAATCGAGTGATAGAGGTTAATAAAAAGACGTATTATTATAATGTACACATTGCAGGACTTTAAATTGAAGGTTATAAATAGTTCGCGATGTCCGTAGAAATGAAAGAAAACATTAGTATAGGATCATGTTTGTTTCCTCTAGAAACAGTACTGGGAATAAAGAACTATAATTCTGGAGTCTACATAAACAGCGAGGTACATGTTTTGCATTGCATTCATTGAGAAATGTCCACTACAAAATAAACATTGCAACAACTTAAAGGCAAGCTAAGACTCATTTGATATTATTAATTTTTTTCTGCGAGGATAGAGAAATATAGGAAAGTGTACACAGAGCAACGATCTCTATTCAAGTGGCATTCCACGAACTAGGGAAAAAATAAAAGCTGAACAATGCAAAATTATTGACTAACAACTAAAACCAAAAAATAATTAATGAAATATGTACAACAACAACAGGCTAGTTTCATTCAAGAGTGCGAGTAGCGTGGCTGTGTACTTTAGAACTTTTTTTTTATACAGGAAACACGAAAAAATGTTTATAATGTTAAGCCTGTGTATTAAACCTGATACTATAATAAAGGACAATACATTGTCCTAAACAAATATTGAAAAGATGCCGATGATCGTACGTGACGAGAAATATTTACTCCCAAAATCGGAGGGAAAGTAAAACCAGATAAAAATGAATAAATAAATAAATGTTACTAAAATAAATAAATGTTCAGTGTTCACTAGAGATAGAGTTCCTAAAAGGTAGTAAATCTTAAAGTCTTTCTTTTACTTTACTACAACGCCTGCATGAAACTTCAAAAACGCAACCATCTATAAATACAGTTCCTTTTATGGGACGTTTTTCTCAAACATAAACCAAATAAACAAACCATTAAACCAGCTTTAAATTACAAAACAGTCTTGAAAGCAGCTGCATTTCATTTTGTGGTAGAACATTGGAAGTTAAAGGGTTAAAATTCACTAAGCTTCAGTTGTCCGTAAGCGAAGTTGCAAGATGTTGCAAAAGACTTAACGCTTATGTACGTTGTAGTTCAATTTCATCCTAGGTTTAAGTTTTTATTTTCCTTTGTTGTGGGGTATGTTTTGTATATGGTAACGAGTTTGAAGCAGAGAAAAATAAAATTTAAAACAAGGATTAAAATTGGACTACATCCAATATATACACCTGCCAAAGTTTTGCCCAATCTGTGAATTGATTGGCATGACTAAGCAAAAAGCAGAGTCTTTTATTTTTCAAAGTTTTTTGTCGATAGTCAAACAACAACAACAACAACAACTACAACAACAAAAATAAAGAAAGCATAAACTCCATTAGTAACCACTAAACTGGTTAATTTTTTGCCAGGACAAACGAAAGCTGCTCATCTCAGACTTCCTTCAGCTCCTTTGTAGTCCCCTCTAACACTCCCCAAGAGTCTGTGTGGACGGACGGCTAATATTACAACAATTTTCTCGCGTCGATATAGCTTTTCAAATTGGCCGCGTGCGGAAG